CTCTTTCTATGTGCATGTGTGGATTAGCAGTGTTATCACTTAGCATTAGGTGCGCAGCAGCCCTTCCAAACACTTACTGACACTTGCTGTTGTCACCAACACACATGCACTGTAGCACGTGCCGAAACACACACGCGCACACTTAACTATCGGTGTACAGTGAGATGTACAGCTCTCCTGCTTTCTCTCTCTTATACAGAGACAGGCAGAGATCTGGGCAAGGCGCCACATCAAATCAAATTGAGGAAAAGTATAATAAAAAGTGTTTAAAAACAAAATATGACCCATCGGATTAAAAGCACATTATATTAAGCAGATGGTGAAAGAGGATTTTCACTCTAGTAAATATGACAGGGCTTTCAAATGTGACACAGGAACGAGCCAGTGAGACAGGAAGGGGAGGAAGGGAGATAGAGGCAAGGAGGGGATGGGAAAAGAGCACAGTGCTGCAAAAGTAGGGAGAGAGAATGTGTGTGTGAAGTAAAATGGTCCTCGATCTGAGACGGAATAAGGGAAAAAAAGTGTAATAAAAGGGAAAACGGAATGTGGAAGAGGAGAGGAGAGGAGACACAAGTGAGTAGAGCGTCAAAGCTGCATTCTTTAAGCAGATCAGATTTGGGGAAATTGGGCTGTCACTACAGGATTGTGATGATTTACACCTATCCATCATAGGGTGTGAGAGAGAAGCAGAGCCAGAATATGTACAATAATCCACAGCAGCTGTGAAAATAGAGAAAATCAATCCTAAGCAGGCACCATCCAACGTGTGCGTTTCAATGTTTACTTCAATATTCCACAAATAATACATCTAGACAGATTATATTTAACCTTACACATGTAATACTACTTTATATCTAAATGCAATGACTGTTAAGGATTCTCCCAGTTCATTACTTTTACTTCTGTATATTATCACTTTACTTCATTTATACTGCAAAAAAGAGAGAAAGTGATAGACTTGAAATACCCGACTCCAAATTCACTAAATAAAAATGTGAAACAAGATTCTTTTCACTGTAAATGCCCATTTTGACCTGCCACAAGCTGCTGTTGACACTCGTCTTCAGAGTCTCCTGGCCTGTTCTTCCCTCTCTCCCACCCATGCCCTCTATCCTCCCCCTCTTCCTCCCCTCACTGCTGGCTGATGCACCTTACAGTCTCGCTCCTGGACCATCTGTTAGGGAATCTAATTCACATCCAGTCATAATCAGGTTTGCTGCAGTGCCCACTGTCTTTCGCCATCTCTGTCTCTCTGTCTGTCTCTGACTGCTTCTTTCTGTCCACTTCACACTGCGCCTTTGTCCGTTTTCCTTTAATCTGGAACCTTCATGAATGTCTTTCCCTTAAATGTCATGTATTTGAATATACTTTACATTCAGTATAATAGGTATACAAAGCTCAAAACTGGCGTAAATCTCGCGAACTGCAACAAAAAAGGGACATTTTCTGATCTTGTCACCAAGAACCTTTTTCTTTAAAATGTGGCTGTATTGTTTTTAAATGACTACCCAGTAATGCTTTTTGCTGCAGCATTCTGCAGGATTCTTACTTTTGAAACTTCTTGCAAATTACTAAGATTTAAATACTGAATCAGCATATCATTGGTAAATATAAAGAACGACATGCTCCACTTAAACAAGATTTTAAATGTGTATATCTATGTGTGTGTACATGTGCATGTTTGTCCTTGATTGAGAATAGGGCGAGTCGAGGTGAAGAGGGTGGAAGTTAATGAGAGGTGAGTGTCTGAAACCCCCTCTCTCTTTTCCCCTCTCTCGCTCTGTCTCTCTCTCTGCTCCTGCAGTAATCCTCTTCTATAAATCTGCAATCCAATCAGCGTTGTCCACACTTACACACACACACACTTACACACGCACACACACACACACACACGCACTCACGCACACACACACAGCTTTTGGGAAGCCCATCTGTGTGTTAAGGCAATCTGCTTTATCATTATGATTACATTGGGCTCAGTTTACAGCACAGTGTGTGTGTGTGTATTCAAGCGCACTCTAGCTGCCTGACATTAATCACATTCCCATGGTTTGATGGCCTAAATAAAAAGAGGAATAATATTGTTGCTGTCCAATGAAAACTGCAGATCTCCAAAAGCATTTAAGAAATTTCTTTAGAATTCAAAAAAGTTTTAATGCAAGAAAAGGCCCCAGAAAACTTCAAATTAAATTAAATTTATTTCTTTGCTTTTTTTGTAGAGATCTGTGATATGAAAAAAAAGTTATTCTAAGAGATAAAATAAAAACACTGCTATAATTCTAAATTCATTTAAATTCATTTCTAAATATTGTCCCTTCCGAACCTGGATTTCTTTCATTTTCAGTGTGTCTGTGCTGTTCAAGTGTGTGTCTGTGCAAGTGTGTGTGAGAGAGAGTGCATATAAATTACGGCCAAATCCCATCAACACAGTTGGAGGTCAGATATCCTAAGGAAGTGTTCCTGTGATCTTATAGTGCATGTGTGTGTAAGAAAATGTGTTCCTTTTACCGTGTAAGTGAAAACTTGTGTGTGTGTGTGTGTGTGTGTGTGTGTAGGGGTAAAGGTTCAACTGAGGTAAGGTGACTTTTACCTTAATATTTAGTGTTAGTACTTTAATATTTAGTGTTAGTACTTTAATATTTAGTGTTAGCTTTTTAAGGCCATTTTTTAAAAATAAACTATTTTCACTGGATGTGTTGGTTTGTCACAGATGGACATGCATAAGAATAAATAATAATAAACTATAACAGGTAATGAATTATGGCTGAGTTCAAGTGCTTCAGATTTAGAGTCCTGGTATTCCTGTCCCACAGATACGTCTTACTGGGAGGGACACCGTTCTTATGGTAAGTTAGGCTACCTGCCGTGAGAAAGGACTACTCTGAGCTCGGTTTCAGGAGAAATAAAATTCTAAAAATTTAACAGAATTGCAAATCCCCAGATTGTATTTGTTCAGCACAAGTCTTGAGATAAATCCTCAAGTTGTTAACTTCACAGTGCTGCCCCCCACCCCACCCCCTCCCGTAGTTAGGGGATACTGTTATGTCATTGTGTAGGCTTGGCACATTTGCGGCAGCCGAATTCACAATAACAATATAATTTGCAGTTTGTTTTGAACCATAGAAGCGAAATAATGCTCCCCATTTTGGAGCCTAGTGTGTCTCTATCCATGTGTACAAATGTACTGTGTGACTTCAAGCCACGGACTGACTCCATAGCCCCTGGCAAACCTTTACACCTCTCATCACCAGACTTCACTGTCTGCCAACACACTCACATTGTGCTACTAACACTCCTCCTGGTGACTGGCCGAAGGTCTGCGTGAGAATGGCTTGCCAGACCTCTAATTGGCTTGACCCAGACTAACCCTGAAATCCTATTGGACTAAAACTTCCCAGTCTACAGCGCACACGGGAACACACACACACATGCATTTAAAATTAAAGGGCTTCACAAGACCCTAATAATGCACTAATCAATATTGTTCCTAAAGAATGTGCAATAATACAACAATAATAACAACATAATAAATCACAGTAATGTTCATTTAAGATAATCATGTTAGTCAGTGAGATCTTGAAGCATAATGTCCAAAATCCAGAGAGAGAAACCACGATCTGGAGAACAGACAGGCAAAGTTTGGGAAACCCACTTTTGGTTACACTAGGTTCTAATATAGCCTATTTAAATTAAATACATATTCAGCTGTTTTTAAAGTGAAATAATGTACAACAAGTAACACTAAACACAGTAATAATATACTTATTTGTTTATACTAGTCCAATACCCCTGAATTATATAAATTATATAGAAAGCGCATACTTACAGTTAAACGTTCGCTTTCAGGGCATGTCATGCTATCTCTTATCCCGAGAAACTTTCAAAAGAGGAGGAGGAAGGATATGATAACGTTTGTCTATATTTAATGCGTCACACATTTCCTGTGTTTAAACATGAAACAAGAAGCGTATTTACAGTATAAGCTCTAAAAATATAGCAAGACAGCCTCAGCAAAACCTGCCCGGAACAACATAAAGTCAGAACTGGTTTTGTTGGAGAACTTTAAAGTGAAATTTCACTTTGGTTGAAGCTTTTCATGCGTTCAGGTTTGACTGCACATACAGATGGCATGGAGAATAATTGTAATGGTAAAAGAGAATGTCCTTCAACAAAACGATGTGATTTAAAGCCTCTGCACTGCGACGCATTTGCACTACTGAAGTGTCCTTGAGCCACAAGTTGAATCCAAATTCCTTGTGATACTCTATATATACTAGGGAAAAAATATTCTCATTTTAGTTGCACTGTTTAATCATAACATATAGTTTACAGTGGATTTGTATGTCTTCTATATTGTGGCGTTTAAAAGAGAATTTTTTTTTTCCCAAGGGTAGGGAGTTGGGGTTTCCCAAAATTTGAAATAAAAAAAGAGTAGATATTAAAGGCTTGGTCGTACCGTGGGGAACCCCTTCTTGATCCCAAACGACACTGAAGATCACCCTTAACTTGGATTTATAGGCAATTATTTAAAGAACCCGATAGAGGGCAGGTAAAAAAAAAAAAAAGATAAAAATACAGAATACTGGTGACACAAACAGCGGAAGATGGTTTGTAAAGCTGATAACATAAAAAGTGTTGTTAAAAATGTAAATTACTTCAAACTAATTTAACAGATAAGGCATATGAATTAAAAAAAATACACAAAGAAAGACACACATGCACACAACCGTTCTCCCCACATTTGAATAGATGGTGGAGAAAAGTTGGTTCTCTCCAAATAGTCTCAAACACGCACACATCCTGACCAATAAAAACTGGCTTTTGATGTCTCCAAATGCTTGCCTTTTCTTTCTCTTCTTCCGAGGTTTATAGAGGTCAAGTGTGACTTTTGTAGAAAACTCAACGTAGATTTATGGATTCAGTCACTTTTGTTTTGCCCTTTTTAAGTCATTCCCCCTTTCTTCTTTTGTGTCTGTGGTCTTCTTGTCAGTCTGTCTTACCTGGGGTTGTAGAGGGCATGTGCGTCTCTCATGTGGTTGGCCTCCAGTGGATCGTAGCTCTGGTGCATTCTCCAGGCGCCAGCGCCGCATTTACCATAAGATGACTTGGAGTTATCTTCACTGCTGCTGTTCACTAATGGCCCCTTCGATAAGTTCATTCTGTAGACAGAAGCAAAGTGAGAAACATAAGGATGGCGCTGACAATACAACAGAGAAAAGTAGGAAAACAGCAAGTGGGACTGTAAAGCGGAGACATGGCTCCTATGTGTTGCGTAAAAGCCATAAAAACTATCTGATGACACTGAAATCAGTTGTTCAGGGGCAATGGTAAAATAACAAAATAAAACTTAGGAAAAAAAATAGAAACAGTGACAAGTTACATTTTTGTGTGTTTCTGCTTTCTCAGTACCAGAATCTGATAAGGTTAAAGCGCTGTAGAAAACAAAACACTACTAAACTAAACACAAAATCTTTTTCATTTTATTGTTTTAATAAAATACTTTCTTCAGCTCAACACAGTGACAAGCAAACAAAAATGAAATGGAAAAACAAAAAAAATCTTCAACACAAAATTACAATTAAGTGGATGACCACTGAATTACAGAGCGCGCTTGAAAGGGCACAGTAACAGGCACACATAATCATTCAGCCCTCAGTAAACATAAGAAAAAAAACTATTATGATTTATGCAACTGCAGAGTTAGGACAGAGAGAGGCAGAAAAGAAAAAACATAAATACACAAAGAAAGGTCCAAGATTTACACATAGGGCAATTTGCAGAGAGCATCTCAGGTAGGCAGAAAGATGAGAAGCTCTCAGACAGACGCACAGGGGACAGATCAGAATTTTAAACTAGTACATGAGACTTTTGTCCCCGAGTTTTACCAGTTTTAACCTCAAAAAACCTTTTTAAATGGAGGAAATATAAAAGTAAAAGCATCAGAGGAAGAACTGCCATCCTTCAATCAAACCCAGTGCCGTCATCAGAAGCAGGGCTGTCGCTGGGGTGATAAGGTCACCACAGGCAACAGAATCAAAAGCATCCCTTACAAAAACAATTTAAAAAAAAGAAGCAAAAAAAAGAAAAGAAAAAATTACATCATGGCTGGGCTTGTAATAAAATGATCTGAATGCCCTACTTTTAAACTATCGGGGGAAAATGAAGCGAGGGAAGTGGAAGGAAAAGCAGTTTCCTACCGGTGGATAAAATCTAGAAAAAACAGATACTAATTCAGATTTGGTAAACTATGAAAGAAAACATATAGTAAGAAATTAATCCTTCAAAAATAGTGCAAAGATCTGAAGAGGTGCTTGCTTTTGAGCATTTATGCTTTTGCTTAATGAGAGCGATTATAATAATCACGTCTGCTAATACTAGCCCAATTAACCTAAGACTAATTATTGATTTAATATTAAAACTTTGCCAAAGAATTACAGAGCTGAAGCCAACTAATAATTTCATCCCAAACATGTAAAAGTAGAAATCAGGGAGCACTTTGAGCTATGCATCGAAGTTAAAAGACAATGAATAAAAGAATCTTTCTTTTTCAGGTCTTTCTTTAAATTTTTTTTACACTGTGACACTCCTGTTTGTGTGTGTTTCCTCCAGCAAAGTGTATCGGTAAACAGAGCAGGATGTTGGTATGTGTCGCAAACTGATAGACACGTGTTTACCACACAAACAACCGGCACATACGCACGTGTGTCTGAGTGTGAGATGTTGTCCCCGCTGTGGGTTCCTGTTTATGTGAGGGCCACATAGACAGGCAGGTAGACAGACCAATGACTTGTCTGACAGCCATCCCTCTATCCATCCACAGAGCTGGGTTGGCTCAGTGAGAGGTGGAGGGCCAGGGTGTGTAATATGTAGGTTTTAGTTCCACTCTGGTGAATAGAAGGAATCGATATCTTTCTGCTGCTGCTGCTGCTTCAGACACTTATTGGCTTTGGTTGCAGTGTTACAATGCTATATAGACAGCCAACTATTAATTCTGTTTTTTTTATGTTTTTGGGTGGAGGTGGTGGTGGTGGTGGGAGAAGTGGTTCTGGTGTGACACCAAGGACTAAAGTATATCCACTATGAGGTGCATGTGGTGCTGGGAATTATAAACCATTATAATCAATCAAAAACTTTCTGGCCGAACAAGTAACTCAGGTTTGCGGCAAAATTCGATCACCTTCTCCCGATCCGCCCGCTTACATTCTGAATTAATATTTTCTCCCTTGCCCACCTGTGTGTGCTAACACTGTGACCAAAGTACCCCAGATACTTTGCTGTGGGTTGCAAGACTGAAGACGAGGGCCACTTCTGACATCTAAAAACCAGACGGCGAGGTGATTTACTTTTATTTTTAATGACGGTATCTCCGCAACAATATTACAACATTACCCTTAGCGTTTATTGTATGCCCACAGACGCTGTATCGAAATCGGACTGCATGAAGTATTTGCTTGAAAACGCTGTAGATTGTTCAGTACTGTGTTTTCATCTTGATTTGGGTTTACATTGTGTGCAACAGTTTAAGTCCTGTGTATGTATCACCAGCCATTTGGGTTCAACTGTCACATTTTGGCTGCAGGCATCTTAACTGCATTAGAAGTAACAGACGCTGTAACAGCTTTTTTAGACAGGGGCTGAAATCAGAGAAATATATTATTATATTTAGGTTTAAACCATAAAAATCACGAACCACGAGAAATACATCTGAAAAGAAAACCCGAGTTTACAAAGTTTTATGATTAGTCTGTATTATGATATTTTAGAGAAACCACAAAAAGCTCTGTCTGATATTTGTATTAACCTGGACTAAAACTGTTTAGGATTACCGAAAGAGATTCTGCTTTATCGCTTTATAACCACATAATCTGATTTTCCTAGTTCTTATTTCATTTCAGAAGAATGAAACTCATTAAAAAAAGCATCTTAAAGCCAACAGACAATTCTTTACATGAGGCGTTTTTTTCTTTTTAAAAATTGAATTCAGCACATGTGAATCGTATACTAAAATAGAAACACAGTACTAAACATATGTAAAATGAAAATCTGAATTTTACACATTTTACATTTTTTTTAAACATCATCAAATAATAAGTCAATTGAAAAATTCAATCCCACAAGTACTCATATATGTAAGAAATAGCTCATATCATAAATATTTAAATATGCATGTAGAGCAAAGGAGAGAATAAAAGAAAAGTGCAATGTATGTGATTCTACCTAACCTATTTCACGCTCCTGTCAGTACATGTAAGCAGCACAAGAACCAGCACATGCAGACATACTATGGATGTGTGGCGGTGTGTGTGTGTGTGTGCGAGTGTGTGTGTGAAAGCAAGGAGATCGTTGGTGTCTTTCTGATGCTCAGTGACTCGCTCATGTGTTGCTGGCCCATCTGTGAACAGAATGACCATGCCATGGTATGTGTGTACATATGTGTGTGTGCGTGTGTGTGTCTGTGTGTGTGTGTGACATGGTGATGCAGTGATTGATGAGACAGTTGCCATTCTTGCTAATGCAAAACGCACCTATCCCTGAAGGGAGCAAATGCCACAACACTCACACACACACACACACACACACACACACAAGTAACTGCCCTACCTAATTACTCCTCTCGTCAGGGTAGTGTGACGTCTTGCAGTTACACAGACAATTTGTATGCATAAATATGGATAAACCTACAGATATGAACACTAATAAATAACTGAACTAAAGACTAGCCAATCTCCTCTGCTGCATTAAAAATTCCCGATGATCCCATTGGTTTCCTCCTCGCAGATAAACTTGTTGGTTCTATTTTCATTTCTGCACTTCTTGTTGCAAATTGCTGACTTTTCTAGATCGTTTACATGGTTCTTATAGTATTTATACTTACTCCCGATAACACTCAGCCTTATACTTGCCTGGAAAGTCTTAATGTGCAAGATCAAAAGTGGCTGTTTTAAATCAAGAAAAAAAGTGTGGTACAGACTTTTTGATATTTGGAAGTAATTAAAAGAATCATTAGATCACGATAAATACTGAGCGGATGCATATATTGATATACATATACGTCTGACGATGTTGCTCTGCGTGTGACTGCATGTGCAGCAGGGCAGGTGGGGTTGAACGTAGCCCTCTGTGTGTGTCTGAGCGGATGTGGATGTGTGTGCACGTTAGCGTTAGCGACGGGAGCTGTTAGCGGGGCAGGCGGCAGATGGGCTGTCGGCCTTAATAGGGACTGAGCGGGTGCAGAAAGGTGACAGTTCCACAAGGGAGGGGGTGTGTGTAGAGGGAGAAGAGGAGCGCGTGTGTGTGTGCGTGTGTGTGCGTGTGTGTGTGTGTGTGCGTGTGGGTGGGTGGAGGGCGCTGAATGGTAAAGGAAGATAGGGATAAAGAGAAAATGAATTATCTACTGCCATGAATAAAAGAGCGGATCAGCTACGCAGAGGAACACGCATCCTAAAGAAAAGAAGCGTTTTTACCATGTAGGATTAGAGCATTTTTTAAATGTAATTAATGTAAACATAATTCACATAAATGTTCCATGCACAAATACTTTAACATCTGATCTTTACTAAAGTTACCAGTGATGAAACTATGTAATTTTTAAAAAAAAATAGAGCGATATTTTGGAATAAGCAATAAACGTATATTAACTATTTTATTTAAGCTACATCAAACTAAAAGTGAAAGTTTTTCAAATGTCAAATACAATTTAACTATTGTGTGAAAGCGTAAACGCAGTTAATAGACACAAATGCGCTCTCACTCACTGTCTCTCTCACACACACACACACATGCACAGAAACAAGGCCTTAATAACACACATAGTTTTCTTGTTTTTACATGTGCAAAATAATGAATTGTATATTAACACGTGACATCTTCTCACACATGCACGGATGTGTGTCAAAGCTGAACCGTTGGTACAGTTGGAGGGACCAACAAGGACTGATGCTGTTGGGCTTGTTTTTTTTTTTTCTTAAATAAAATTAAAAAAATAAATGAGTTATTTTGTGTGATCAACATATTTGTTAGAGACAATTTCCTTTTCACAAAAACACCAAAAGCTGTGAATAATGAGGTAAATATACATATATATGTTGTTATGTACGTTTCATTTTTTGTGTATAATGAAGCGGGTGGAATAAACTTAATTAATGAAATTAATAAGTTC